GGTTCACTCTTTCCTTTCCTAGGTCTGCTAAGTATTCAGTAACTAGTGTTCTGCAGTCACGCGTAACCTTCTGTTAAACAATACTGTTCTGCGGACTCTTCCACCTTTCCGTTCCCTCACCTTTTTCCACTTGGGAATAGATTAACTGAAAACCAATGTCAGAGTGTGTAAGCACAGCTGTGCGTGTGTCTGTCGGGGGGCGCAGTCAAAACAGCCGAAGAAAACCGACGATCTTGCAGGAGTCCTGCACTCGTACATCTTTTAAGTACTTTGAAATGCCTTGTGTTGCTAATTAGGAAAGCCCAGGGCTCGGATTGCAGGCAAAACAAGAAACGGGTGAAACAATGCACAGCAAGCAGGCCTCGCGTTCTGCTGCAGCCAGCTGCTGCTGTCGTTGCAGTGCCTTCTAAAAGAAATATGCTGCGTTGGCCAATGCGCCATATATACGTGAAGGTGTCAAGAAATCGCAAAATATTAGTTGACCTTGTTGGAATCTTCTAAATTCTTTGTTATACTATGTTGGGGCAAAAGTGGGTGAAAGCAAGCTCTTTCTATTTTGCTTTGGTCCATGGCCTCACGTTCGGCCTCACGCAGTCTCTGCATATCCACAGGCTCCTGGAAAGACTGCGCAAGCACAGATCTGGGCGACTGCAAAAAAGCAAGCAAACATGAGGTAGACCAAACAAAAAGCACGGGATAATGACAAGTGTGGAAAGGTTAAAGGATCTGAAAGCGAGTGCAGAGCTGTTAAAGAGAAAGAAAGCCTCTAGGATCCTCTAGGATTCCAAAAACAATCAAGATTCAAAATCATCAGGTGCCTCTGGGCTTTGCTCCCAAGCCTCTCTGTGAAGAAGGCAACTGCCACATGACGCTATCCACTCTCTCCGTTTTTTTCCGCCGTGTCTCCCTTTCTCTGTGGATAGTTGAAGCAATTAGTAACAAGGGCATTTCTACTAGGAGCAAGGACGCTACTAGGGGTGCTCCTGGCATGACTACCAGTAACAAGAAGCAACTACTCTGGACCAACTGTTGATGTCATCGTTCTCCTGAGCCCTTCTGACCTGTCATTCCAACCAGCCTCTGACCCTTCTGCTCTTCGCTGTCGACGCTTCAATGCTTTTTGGCAAGCTGGGTGTTAGAAGGTATTGAACGCTTTCGACGGAAAAAACATACCTTTCAAAAGGAGGCGTTTCAACAACTGGGAAGAAGCACTCTCTTCCCAGCAATCACCATGACCACATTCCAACACGCCTCCTGGTGAACGTGGATCTCTGCTTCGTGTGCCTCCCTTGCCTCTCTAGCTTTGGCAGCCTGTGCTAGGCTCTGAACTGATCGCCAATTAGCTCCAATTGCTTCTCTGTAGTCCTTTACTCCAGCGGCTAAAGCGGCTAGCCTCAGCTTCTTTCTCTGCCTGCAGCCTTTGCTTCTCCTTCCGATTCAATTCTTGGCCACTGGCTTTTGGGGGCATCATTTAATTACGTTTTTACTTTTAATTTGAGGCCTCTTCAGTCATCTATATAACTTCGAGGAAGCTCGATGCTGAACTTATTCAGCAAAGCAACGCACTCAAGCCTCTTCGTAGTTCTTCTTCGCAATTCGTTCTAGCTCTTCTTTTTTCTTCGCAGCCTCAGATTGATAATCCTGCAGGGGAGCTGAGACAAGGTCTTCAAGTGTGCTGCAGTGTGCTTAACAAAAGCTGTTTATCCTGGCTAAATGTGGAGTGCTGCAAATACTCTTTAGGCTGAGGAAAGAAACAGGATGCTGAGCAATGCTGGAATTTGCAGGGTGGCGACGGTGGCGATAGCTTTACCCTGTCCTAGCCCTTCGAGTGCTTCTAACTTTTGACATGCGTTTCGCAGCCGCTTGCAGCACAAAGGTGCGCGTCCTGGTGCCAAATAGAAAAGGTTTCCTTGAGCAATTCCTCGCAGAGCTGCCTGCATTTTCAGGGAGGAAAAAAGGATGCGTGACAAACACGAACCTTTGCGCCAGTGTACTCTGGTTTGATCTCCGCCTGTGCATTTTCTCTGCGACAGCTTCCGCCACCCGCTCTGCTTTAGAAACAGCCTGACCGCCAGAAACCAGGCTCTTGGAAACATGCGTCAACCGTAAACTACATCTAAGTAAGTTTCCCTAAAAATCTGGAACCGAATGATTAGCGTGAGTTATCCTGCGTCCATATGTGATAGCTTTCTATCGCTAGTAGCTTACTTCCCCCTCACTTAATTAAGTAGGCACCTACTTAATTTAGGAGGCAGGGCCATGGGCTTGAAAAAACATAAAAACGAGCTGTCAAGCCTTCTCGCTGGGCACACTAGCGCCAGGGCCACTAGGATCGCTACGGGTTGGTCCGCTCGGACCAAGAGGGCTGCTCGGTATCTGCAAAGCCATTGTGCTGCTCGGTTCCTCCTGGATGAGACACTCTATCAGTCCAAAGAGTCGGGACTCTGTGAGAATCTGCAGTGGCCAAAGCCGCTTAAGCCTCGTCATCGTCCAAAAGGGCGCTCTCTTGTAAGGCAGTCTCCAAGAGATTCTTAAGCACCTGGAGCCAAAGCATTCATACACTGCAAACCCAAATCATTAAACACGAAGCGAGCTGCCGGGAATGCCCAAGAATACGTCCAAATAGCCCAGCGTATGGCCCTCATGCTATGGCCCCTTGGAGTCTCGTGGCCAAGCCGAGCCTGGTCTCTCCCAGTGCTGGTGATCTGTTCCTGGTGACGACGCCAGTCATCGGAGGTCTCAACCTCGTGAAGACTGGGACTAAAAAGTCAAAACAAACCTATTTTAGATGACCTGAAAAGCGCAGTCAACGCAGTTCATGGCACTTCCACAATAAACTGCTGGGTGTTGTTGGCCTGTGTTCTTTCGATTCTTTTTACAATGCTTGTACAAAGACCGTAGGCAGCAGGCTTTTGACAGAGAAGCTACGTACTGTACAAAGGCTCTGTTTGAGCCCCACATCGCTGCTGTCATCACTTCTGGCTTGTGGCTCAGGTGATTATTCGGAAGACATGACCTCAGGGCCCACTTCCATTTCAAGAGCCGAATAGCCCCCCTCCCCGAAGACAAAGCTGAGAGTGCCCGATGTTGGAACATCTGTAAATGTCATAGTTCCCTCCTTCAGCTTGTTATCATTCACACGGTGTTGCACCTGGCTGGCCCGGGAGCTCTTGTTGAGATGGCCATGAGCCTCGCGGAATTGAAATAAGAACAGTTCCACGTCTAAGCGACCTAAGCGACCTTCTGGCTCATCTTGTTTTGCACCCTCCGATGCCCAAAGCAAACGGCTCGCTTCCGACTTCTGCAAGTTGCCAAGTGAACCATCACCTCTGACCGAAAAGTCCAATTCGATGGAGTTTGGCCCTACCTCGCGCACCTCCAAGACGCTACAAACATAGTCCTCATTGTACTTGCTTTGGCCGGGCTCTTTGATTTTCCAGGGTTCTCGTTTCAGAACCATCAACTCAGAGCCTTCCTGGAGGCCAAGCTCCCTCATCGACTTGTCCCCGTGGCTTGAATCAATAGAGGCAGTGCTGCCAATTTGCACATATACTGCGCCCAGTTTCCGCGCTTGTCGTATAAGTTCTGGGGATAGGTGGGCAGTGCCCACATTGGTGGAACATCAGGCATTTTGATTTTGACACCGTTGCAAAGGAATTGCTTCCAAACAGGCTGACATATACATCCATCACATACTCAGCACATAGCAGTGCACATTAAGATATGGCATATGGCTCAAACATACATAACACCTTCCAGCGTTTCATCTAATTATGCCTACTACTGGATGGCAAGCCACCTCAATGCTCACATAGTGGGAACTCAAGTTAGTTTTTTGTTGCATTCATTTTTCAAACATGAAGCTAATCAATAGATCTCAAGAATAGTTGCGATTGCAGATTTGCACCACCTGCAGCCATGCCATGGGCTGGTTTGAAGACCTGGATCAAGCATATACTCTCTTTCTGCGCTGTGGGGAGATTGTCTTCCAGCATGGCACTGGACAAACAATAGCTGCGTTCACAAATGCAATGCGCCTTTTGGCAGGGGTGATTCAGAAGGCTGGGAAAACCTTCTGTTTGACTGCTTGAGCTGCAATGTTCCCACAGCACTGAATGAGCTGCAATAGTGCCACAGCACAGAAGTTTGAGACATATGGAATTTGGTTTGTGGATATTCAAGCGTGTTTTTCACCTGCAAGGTGCCCATCAAAAGCGTGACTGGTGGTGCGGTGCGATGCCATCAACCAAGTATGCTGGTGCCAACTACAACAGCTGGAAGAGGGCACCCTTTCTACAACCTGGCTCAATTGTTTCGATTCATGCGAGTGTAGCTTGACATAATTTAGGGAGAACTAGCCAGCCAGCTAGAGTTTTTGAGAATTGTTTGGAATGGGCTAGGCATCACTCATGAAAGGCACATACACTCACTCAGGGTTCCAATTGACCATCTCTCTTCTGAATCAATTGAGCAAAACGGCTCAAATTTGATAGTGTCGGGTTAGCGGGTAGTGGAAGAAAGAGTTGCCTTGCCAACTTGCCATTGCCAATTGCCAACTTACCAGGTCAGCTACTGTGAGGAATTCCTCGAAGTTGGAGCAAACATTTGCTGGAGTCATGGACCTTGTCTTTGGAGACACATCCAGGATTGCGGCGCCGAGCGGCTCCACTATTGGCAGGGGTCGTAGCAAAGTTGATTTGGCATTGATGCTCATCAGAAGAAATCACTGGAAATCTGCAATCAAAGAAACTTCAATTCAGTTGGGCTACTTGGCAAGTTCTTGTTGGGTTTTGTCGGTGCTGGTAACTGGTGGGAGCTACAGGCTACAGTGCTACTGTCTACTGTACTGTACATTCCTGTGGATGCGGGTGACCGTGTGTGCGTTGGCAGAAGCTGCAACTGCAGCCTGCAGCCCAGCTCAGCCTAGGCTATGATTCCACAACTATGTCAAAAGAAATGATGGTCCTTCAAGAGCATTCTGTCACGCCAATCCTGCCTGTTGTGATTTGTCAACGGACTCAGTTTGGACACTGAGTCAGGATTCAGAAAGCCATTCAGGACTAAGGACTAAGGCTAAGACTGAGGATATATTCAGATGGGGTTGGTGACTGGCCATTGGTGTCACAAGTATATACAGTAATCATATAATCAACTTTCATTTGGTTGGCGCCGCTAGTGACTGTCATCCACTTGCCAGATGTAGTAGTAGGGTTTGCCAGAATTTGGTTCTTTTCTTGCCAGGATAGATGCAGCTCAAGCTGCTTTCTTGCAGGGGCGACAATATGCTGGGCAACAGATCCGCAAACAAGATGCAAGGATCAAGAGGTTGAAGTTCAAACTTCAAGAGATTGCTGACAAACGATCTGTGGGACGGCGGAGGAGGGAGGATGAACTAGTAGTGTGGAATCCAGATGATGAAGACTTGAATTCTGATGAGAGTTCTGATGTGGAGGAAGAATCAGATGCTGGTGATAGTGGCGCGATTGTGAGAGTTGAGCAACTTCATGGACTCAGGATGGAGGCTGGCTTTGCCATCAACAAGCACACCTTTCCCCCAACCACGCTGGGAAGAGGCAGGCTGCTTCTGGGAATGAATGGGACCATGTTTTGCATGACTTGTATGTGCGGGCTGCTGCAGGTGTGCAGTGAGCTGTGTAGACATTTGTAACTGTAGTCACTACATTGGCCGGGCAGCAGATGTAGTGTAGCATGGAATGGATGTTGCAAGAGTCAGCATCAGTTGATGGTTGAAGTTACAGTTGAATGTGTCAAGAGTGGTTCTAAGTTGCTTCAGTGCCAGGTTCCACAGCTTTTGAAAACAAAGCGGCGGCTCTGATTCACATGTTGCGGCTGGAATGCGGTGAGGAATTGCGTCAATACACTCTTCAAGTGGTAGCCACCATTTCTGACCAAGGACAAAGACTGGAGTCTGGAGTCTGGAGTCACCAGTTTCAGCAGTTGGCTGAAGTTTAAGAACCTCTCAGACCGACCTCAGACTCAGACCCTGAGACTTTGACTGTGACTCTGACTGATAACTGAACTCAATTCCAACTCCAATTAATTAGGAGATACTTAGTCGAAGTACTGGTATGATATTTATGAGCATAGGATAATAGGATAGGATCAAGATCATTGGCATAGGCCATAGGCATAGGCTTAGGGCATAGCCATAATTCCATAGGCATCGGCATAGTCAGACAGAGCATCATTTTTGAAACAAAACACGAGTCAAGCCTAGAGTCTAGAGGAGTCTTAAAGCGAATGAATAGCAGTGCCCGCAACTTTGGCCTGTTCTATAGCTTGCAGGAACAGAGCTTGCGTTGGGAAGTATGCCGGAAGTAGACCTACAGCTGCTGCTGGATGATGAGGCTAGGAGCTTGGCAAACTGCCTTGCTGCAACTCAGTTTCAAATTCCAGCAGTGGCTCAGCCGCAAGGGTAGGTGGCTGGTGGTCGTTACTGGTGACTCTGGCCAAGAGGCGGCAAGGGGGTGTTGGTTGGCGGCAGTCGGTTGACTGAGACTGAGACAACCTTTGCTCTTCTTCAGGCGATGGACCAGGACGAGCAAATGAATATGAGCAGCCTGCGTGCTCCGCAGAGCACGCAGAATCCTTGCGCTGCTGTCACTGTCACTGGCCATGATCGTGGGCAGCAGAACCCAAGTGCCTCTGGTCGGCCTCCAGGGTTCTTTGAAGGGGAGAAACTAGCAGTAGTAGGTAGTACTAGGTAGGTAGGGTAGGGGCAGGGTATAGCAGGGTATATAGTAGTTAGTATATGATTATGATGTTATATAATCATTAGACTAAAGACTGCTCTCTTTCATCTTGTTTGTTCAGAAGGGCTGTTCAAGTTCATCATGTGTTTTTCTCTATTATATGTATAATAGTAAAATCGTAATCGTAAACAATATTTATATATATTGTAAATATATTTGGAGACGAAGACGAAGGGGGCGCAGCTCGGTCGGTGTTTCTCTGTCGAATGTTGGTTTCTTTGGCTAGTTTAGGGTTCTCAAAGGCAGTGTATCAAAAGCGTAGCGGTGCCGGTGCCGCCGCGTTTAAATTTTGAGTTCATGTTTTTTTCATCACAAGCTCATTAGTGCTTAGATGTCTTTGTCTTTGTCTAGTCACTTTAGTCTTCCAGTTATACTGTTTTTTTCACTCTTGAAACTCATATTCAATCTGATTTTAGCTTGAGCTTGACTCAGGTGCAAACGACATAATTGAGATCATCCATGATGGGCTGGCTGATGCAAGAAGCACAGAACAAAAGAAGGCAAATGACTTGACTTGGACTCAGACCCGGACTAACTTCAACTGGACTCTCCTCTCCTCTCCTCTAATCTGTCACTGCACTGAACTGGCTGGCTGAAAGGCAAACCCTCCAGAGCTTGGTGGAGAAGGGGACAGGGAAGATCCAAATCCAAGTGCAGTTCATCCTGACGTTTGTTTGTTACCTAAGCTGCAACTATGACACATGACTGACTAGAGCCGGACCAGACTAGAGGGACTAGAGCCACATAACTGAATAACTGTCAAAGACACTGACTCACTCATGCTCAGAAAGTCTACTTGCCACAACCACAGTGCCGCCGACATTACACACATATATATTGCATTACATATATAACGTCACAAGGACAAGGTTGGACAAGGAATAGGAAACTATACCAAAGAGAGAGAGAGAGAGAGAGAGCGGGGGGGAGCGTTGGCGAGGGGCAGCAGTCAGATGTCTTCATCTCAAATC